ACTCCTAAAACTTAGTCTTATAGGCTAAGTCACACTACCACCTCAGTGAACTAGGTTTTAAATTTCATGGACGTTCTTTGACGGTTTGAGCCTAAAAAATTAATAAATGACCTATATACATTGACATTGACATTAAAACTGTGACACAACCTTTAGATAATCATTTTAGGCTCTAGAACACGTCTTAAACTTTCAGAGTGTTGCATTATCCCTCCTTTAGGAACATTCGTCCCCGAATGACATTAATATCTTTTGGAAGAAAGGAATAGACTCAAGACTAGAATCTCAACCAACAACACATAACAACATGAGTTACAACATAAAACCTGGCATTTATGCATAGGAATTCAAAATATCAATGACTACATATAAAGATCAACATCACAATATGTGGAATTTTCTTATCACAACAACATGAGCTAAACATAAAATTAGGGAGTCAATTATCCATAACTCAATCTTTTAACATGCTCAATATCATTTCGCAAAAACTCGTTATATCAAAATTCACAACATAACTCAAAACAAATAAAATTGACAATTTTCAAGTCTATAATTAACTGTAACATGAACTTTTTTTCAGAACGTTACCAATAAGAAAAGAACTTTAAATTTAGTTATTATATTCATTAGTAGTCATAATAATTAATTTTAATTATCAAATATAGGAGGGTAGCGGGACTTCATGTAGGCCTCGGCCTACCATGTTGCACCCTCACCTCTTAATTCATTAACTTCTTCAATTTTCTATCAAGGATTTGAACCGAAAACTCATCATGAGAGAGTAATTCTTGCACACCTAGACCTTCAATAGGAAGAATGGACTCGGGATCACCGATACACTTCGTAAGCATAGAAAACATAGAAGACCGGATTAACTGAAACCAATTCACTAGGTAACTTCAACACGTATGTAACCTTACCAATATTTTGAAAGATTTCATAAGGACCAACATAACGAGGACTCAACTTCCCTTTCTTGCCTAATCTCACCACCCCTTTCATAGGCAAAATTTTTAGATACACCTTATAACCTTCTTCAAACTCTAAATATCTTCTCCAATGGTCGGCATTAGAATTTTGGTGGCTATAGGCTATTTTAAGTGATTCCTAATGATATGAACCTTCTCTAAACACTTATAAATCAAATCCGTAACCAAAAGTGAAGACTCGACTAATTCAGACCATCCAATTAGAGATCTACGCTCCTATCATACAAGGCTTCATAAGGAGCCACAGAATGTATGGTAACTATTCTTACAACCAAACTCCACCAAAGGCAAGTGCTTATTCCAATACACCTTGAATTCAATGGTACAACCTCTAAGCATATTTTCAAGGATTTGAATAGTATGCTTCGCTTGACCATACGTTTGGGGATGTAAAATGGTTGTTAGGTTCCTTTGGTACTCAACCCTTTTTGTAATGATCTCAAAAACCTAGATTTGAATTGTGCACCCCAAATCTATATGATGGATAACGGAATACCATGGTGACAAATAGTATCATCTATGAAGATCCTTGCATAACATCTGCCAAGTAAGTAGACTTCAAGGGAATAAAATGAGAAAATTTGGAAAATCTATCCACAATCACCCATATGGATTCATATTTCTTTTGTGTTAGAGGCAAAACTACAACAAATTCAAAATTAATGTCTTCCTACTTCCAAGCAGGAACTTCGATTTCTTGAAGTAAACCACCTGGATTTTGGTGTTCGGATTTAACTTGTTGGCAATTTTGACTGTTGGCAACAAATTACACTATATAGATAGTCATTCCTTCCCACCAAAACATCTCCTTAATGTCACGGTACATCTTTGACGGACCCAGATGAATGGATTATCGGAATCCATGAGATTCCTCAAGAGTATGGTTCATGAAGCCATCTATAATTGGTAACACATAACCTTCCATGAGACCTCAAAACACCATCACCCCTAAGGAGAATGACTCATTTAGCTAAAAAATAACCGACCCTTTCAACTCCATTAATGGTTGATCAAGGTGTTGTTTAGACTTCACCTCAACCACCAAAGATGACTCAGAGTTGTGATGGACATAAACAACCATTTAGAGAATCTTCCGATCTAACGCCCAATCTAGCCAACCTATGAATATATTTCACTAGGTCTTTCTCCGCTTCTTCTACATGAGACACACTACCCATGGTCATACGATTTAGAGCATCCGCAACCACATTGTCCATGTCGGGATGGTAGGAACACTCATGTCACAATCTTTCTACCATTCCTACCACCTACTTTGTCACAGATTCAATTCTTTTTGAGTAAAAAAATATGGAAGATTCTTGTGGTCAGTATACACATCCACATGGACACCATACAAATAAAACCTCCATATTTTCAAGGAAATACCACAGCTTCTAACTCAAGAACATTAGTTGGGTAATTCTTCTAATACACCTTAAGATATCTAGAGGCATAGTCTACTACTTTCTTTTGTTACCTAAGCACACACCCCAAGTCCACTCGGGAAGCATCATAATACACAACTAAACCCTTTGTACCCTCAGGTAAAGTCAACACCGGAGCGCAAGTAAGCCTATCTTTCAATATTTGAGAGCTTTTCTCACATGCCTGCAACCACTCAAATTTTATACTATTTTGGGTCAAAGTAGTCAAGGGAGATTCAATGGACGCAACAGCATCTACAAACCTCTTATAATAACCCGCTAGACCCAAGAAGCTTCTAATGTTAGTCGGAGTCAATGGTCTATGGTCTAAGCTAATTTTTCACCACCTCAATTTTCCTTAGATCAACCTCAACTCCATCACTAGAGATGATATGACCAAGAAATGTCACCAACCTCAACCAAAACTTACATTTGCCATACTTGGCAAATAGTTGGTTCTCCTTAAGCACTTGTAACACCACCCTCAAATGGTCCATATGTTCGCCCCCATTTTTTGAATATACCAAGATGTCTTCAATGAAGATAATGACAAATAAATCTAGGTAACTTTTAAACACCCTATTCATAAGATCCATAAATGTATTCGGGGCATTAGTGAGACCAAAGTACATTAATAAGAACTCATATTGACCATATCTAGTCCGAAATGCCATTTTTGGTATATCCTCAGCGCTCACCCTAAATTGGTAACACCGCGATCTCAAGTCAATCTTAGAAAAGTAGCTTGCCCCTTGAAGTTGATTAAACAAGTCGTTAATCCAAGGGAGAGGATACTTGTTCATAATAGTGAATTTATTGAGTTGGTGATAATCGAAGCACATTCTTAGGGATCCATTATTCTTCTACACACACAAAACTGGAGCACCCCATGGAGAAATACTAGGTCTAATGAAGCCTTTGTCTAGTAAATCGTTGAGTTGATCCTTCAACTATTTCAATTCGGTCGGAGTCATTTGATAAGGATGACTTGAAACGGGGTTGGTACCCAGTAGATAGTCAATACCAAAATAAATTTCCCGTTTGGGAGGGATTTCAGAAAGATCATTACAAAAGATCTCCGGATATTCCCTTACTACAGGGATTAACTCAATGGGAGGATTTTCGGAGTCCAAATATTTGACTCTTATAATGTGATATAGACACACTTTTGAGAACATTTTACAAGGCTTAATACAAGAAATGATACGGCCTCTACAATTAAACTTTCCCCCTTACACTCTAAAATGGGTTCATTTGGAAATTTGAACTTGACAATTCTAGTTTTTCAATCAATGGAAGCAAAATAATCATGCAACCAATCCATCCCCAGAATGACATCAAAATCGACATTATAGAGTTCTACTAATTCAACATGAGTAACTCAATTGAAAATATTATAGGGCAATTTCTAAATACCCTATTTTCAACCACTTACTCATCTACCGAGGTAGTTACCATGAAAGGTTCATATAGAATATCGGGAAAAGTATCAAACTTTCTAGATAGCAAGGGACTAACAAAAGATACTGTAGCACTGGGATAAATTAAAGCATATACATCAATAGAGAAGACTTGTAACATACTGGTCACCACATTGGGAAAACTTTCTTCTTCCCCCCCTATAGCGAAGTGCATAAAAGTGATTCTTCTTTGGAGGATCCATATTATAATTACTAGATTGAGCATGCCATGAACCTTTGTCTTGACACTTCACATTTCGGAAATACCTAACATTGTGGCCACTCTTGCCTGACACAAAAAAATTTGTCCGGCCCAACAAGGCAATCACCATTATGCTTCTTGCCACACTTTCCACAAGTTGGTTTCTTCTTGTATGAACTAGTACCTCTTCCCTTTTGAGACTTAGGGTTTGAAACCCTATCATCATAGGCTTGGGAGATTTTGTATGAACTTGATTAGAAGACCTTTTTTTAAACCTAGGCTTGTCTTGGATGTCAATCCTACCCTTTGAAGAACTATAATCTATATTTTCTCTTAACCCTTATCTCTTCCATTTGTTGAGCCTGAACCATGAGAAGAGAAATTTTCATATTATCATGTACCGTAGCCAAATCACATTCTTGTTTCAAGTCATGCCACACACTCGTCATAAAACAACTCATTTCATCTCTAGGATCAAAAACCAAAGAAGGACCATACTTTGACAATTTAACAAATTACAAAGAGTAGTCAAGTACACTCATACCTCCTTGATGAAGGTTGATGAATTCCTTCATTGTGGATTACCTCTTGTCCCTAGGAAACAACCTATCAAGAGAAGCCTTCTTGAAAATCTCCCAATGCATAGATCCACCTCTTAAATGCCTATTGTCTCTCCATTGTACTTACCAAGTTTGGGCCACATCTTTGATTTGGTAAGTGGATAATTCGGCCTTCTTACTAGTAGTCAACCCCATAGCGTAGAGGATCTTGTAAGCTTCATCAATAAATACTTTGGATAATTCCTTAACTTTGGACACATAGAAATTAGGGGGATTTATCCTTGTGAAATCCCTCCAGTGAGAGGCCATGGTACCAATATGTTGATTTTCTCGGGGTACAACCTCCCAATTTGATTACGTCCTCATGGCTTGTGCTTTAGTAGTATTGGCTTGGGCCATTTGGAGAAAGGCAGAGCTCGATCCGTCAAAGAAGGAGGATTGACCGGAGCTTGGTCATCATTTGCAACTTCTTCAAGAGGAGGGACTTGATTGCCTCGGGGAGGAGCTCTCACATGTGCAATTTCTCCATCAAGTCTTCGAGTGGCTGTTCTTTGAGTATTCATTGCCTATAATCACAATAAAATGATTAGATGTTAAGGCACATAGAATCAAGACTCTAGAGGCACGATATTATATTTCCATGAAAAGGAGAATTTACTAAGCATCTTAAAGTTTCTTATTCAAAGGTTTGACGTGCTTCACAATTATATATAAGAATCTACATTGACGTTGTCAAGTGAGACACCAACTCTAAAGATATTCTACCTCATGCTCTGATACCTTGTTTGGCACATCCGAGGATCACCCCATAGACATAACCAGCTCCATCGTCCTCATCAAGGAGTAAAACTAGCCTCTAAGCTTACATCATCACATGCATAGGTTAAAAATGCGGATAATTTAAAACTTTTCTATATCTATCTTGAGGTTTACATAGATATATCGCATACACATAATATAGATATTCATATCGATTATACATGTTCGTATAAGAAGATTAAATTGTGTTCTACTTTTATTACACATAGATATATAAGATACTTAACAAAGTCTTAAAAGGAAGTCACATCTCATAACCTTCTAAAGCAAGAGTATATCAATTGGGCTTACCCTATCTATCAATGTAATAAAGACACATATAGGTTATACAATATTTTGTACTCAAATGAAAAAGAAAGAACTAGAAGTCTTATAACTAGAAAAATATAAAAAGGTTTATATAGGCATTGCCCTCGGAAAGTGAGAACCTACCCAACATGGATTAGTGAGAACTCCAAGTCTTCCTTCAAATTCTTCTTAAAAGCCCTTCAACGATCGTAACCTAAAATGTTCGAGGAAAAGGGAGCAAATGAGATTAGTAAACCTTTTGTAATATGTATGAGGCCATATGCACACACATCATAAAATCATTCTAGAAACAGACACATTCAAGCATGATATTTTACATTCTATAAGTCTTATGCACACTCAAGAATCAACACAAGTCCAACATGTATATTCATCAAGTCAAGATCATGTTCTAACTAAGTCTAGCCAAGTTAATCATGCATACAAACATACTAGAATATATAATCAAGACAACTCTATCATCAAGTTATAACATCAACAAGCATGAATAAGAGTTCATTACAACATCACCAAAGCAATAAAATTACCCATGAGAGTTCATTATGTCACGACCCAAACCGGGTTGCGACTGGCACCCACACTTTCCCTCCTATGTGAGTGAACCAACCAATCTAACCTTTACATTTCAATATAATATCAATAGAAAGTAATGCGGAAGACTTAAACTCATTAAATAAAGACCAATTTATTAACTTCTAAAATTCAACATCTATTATTCCCCCAAAATCTGGAAGTCATCATCACAAGAACATCTACGATCAAACGACTAAACTAAGAGTATTCTAAAAGCTAAAAATACATAAGAACCTAGTCCATGCCAAAAGTTCAAGGCATCAAGACTTGAAGAAGAAGATCCAGTCCAAGCTAGAAGCATTAGCTCACCCTGAATTTCCGATGTAGTAAGACTGGCTTGAATTACTGTTGAGTCGAAGATGACGGCACGTTTGCTGCACTCCACAAATAATAAGAAGAAAAACATAAAAGTAGGGGTCAGTACAAAACACGGGTACTAAGTAGATATCATCGGCCAACTCAAAATAGGGAACAGTATATATCAAATATTATCGTAAATCAACTATAAAACTCAACATGTAGCAACAACAAGTACTATAATCATCAATAAGTACCATCAAGTTCATCCATGAGGGCTCAAGCGTCAATGCCATACTCATTTGGGAATTAAGTTTATTAAGTTGAGTATATTATCATCTTTCAAGATTCATTATCTTTCTTCCTCTTGTGTCGGTACGTGACACTCCGATCCCCTACTGCTATGTGTCGGTACGTGACACTCCGATCCCCTAATTCTATGTGTCGGAACGTGACACTCCGATCCCCTAATTCTATGTGTCGGAACGTGACACTCCGATCCCCTACATGTGTCGGAACGTGGCACTCCGATCCCCTACATGTGTCAGTACGTGACACTCCGATCCCCTACATGTGTCGGTACGTGACACTCCAATCCCCTACATGTGTCGGTACGTGACACTTCGATCCCCTAATTCTATGTGTCGGAACGTGACACTCCGATCCACTAATACTATGTGTCGGAACGTGACACTCCGATCCACTAATATATGTGTCGGAACGTGACACTCCGATCCACTAATATCATTTTGTAAATCATCAAGCCTTCTCTATTCCAAGGCATCATCAATCTCATTACTTTAATTCATCAAGCCTTCTTCTATACCAAGGCATCATCATTAATAATGTATATTAAAGTTTCTTTTCAATATTTGGGATTAAATATTTTCATCATGCCTATCTTATCACAATCACATAATCATATTCATGCAAACATACCATTAAGCATATAGTAGGGTTTACAATACTACCAATACATATCATTCACTATTAAGAGTTTACTTATGAAAGCATGAAAACCATAACCTACCTCCACCGAAGAATTGAAATCAAGCAAGTTAATCCTCAAAGCTTGGTGTTTTCCTCTTCTTCTCAATCGTTTTTCTCTCTCCCTTCTTGTTCTTTCTATTTTCTTATTCAAACCCTCTTTCTTTTACCCTAATTAGTATATAATTAAGAATAAAAGATGGCAATAATACCCCACTAATTAACTTAGGGTTACCTCTTTTAACCCCCAAGAATTTGAGTTATTAATATAAACCCACGAAATCTATAATTAAGGAAAGAATAGTCCAAAAATGTCCCTTAAAACGTGTAAGGAAATCTGATTCTGCCTAGGATTTGCGCAACCTGTGACGGGCCATCGTGCCTGCGACGGTCTGTCCTGCAGGTCGTCGCAAGGGTCAGAGAGTCAACTTCCACTGAACAATCTATGACGGTCCGTCCTGCCATTCCGTCACGAAGTTCAGAGAGTCGATTTTCAGTACCCAATTTCAGATTTTCTAAGTGTTTTGAAACGAGACCCTGCGACGGTCCGTCATGCCCATGACGGATCGTCGTTTGGTCCGTCGCCTCAGCATGTTTTTCCAGAATTGAAGTTTGTTGCTCAAAACGACTAAACAGGTCGTTACAATAGATACCAATTTACCCATCGTTCGTCCCCGAATGATCAAAAGAAGTAAACCAGGACGAAAAGGAGTACCTGAATCTGTAAACAGATGTGGGTATTTTTCTCGCATATCCGCCTCCTTCTCCCAAGTGGCTTCTTCAACGGGCCGATTCTTCCATTGCACCTTGATGGATGCAATCTCTCTTGACCTCAACTTGCGAACTTCTCTATCTAAAATAGCAACAGGCTCCTCCTCATAAGACAAGTTCTCATCAAGCAAAACTGAATCCCAACGGATAATGTAGTTTCCATCTTCATGGTATCTTTTCAACATCGACACATGGAACACCGGATGTACTCCGGACAGCCCTGGAGGCAAGGCTAACTCATAAGCCACCTCTCCTACTCGCTTAAGTACTTCAAATGGTCCAATGTACCTTGGACTTAGATTACCCCTTTTACCAAACCGCATCACCCCTTTCATTGGTGAAACTTTCAACAAGACTTGTTCACCCTCCATGAACTCTAATCTCTATCCTTTCGATCTGCATATTCTTTTTGTCTACTTTGCGCCGCTAGAAGCTTTTCTTGAATAGACTTCACTTTTTCCATCGAATACCTCAAGAGATCAGTACCCCAAGGTCTAACCTCGAACGCATCAAACCAACCAATGGGAGACCTACATCTCCTCCCATATAATGCTTCAAATGGGGCCATATCAATGGTCGAGTGATAGCTATTATTGTATGAAAATTCCGCTAAGGGTAAGAAGCTATCCCAATGGCCACCAAATTCTATCACGCACGCACGAAGCATATCCTCCAACACTTGAATCGTTCGCTCAGACTGACCATCGGTCTGGGGATGGAACGCAGTACTAAGGTCCAACCTAGTACCCAATTCCGCATGCAATGTTTTCCAAAACATAGAAGTAAACTGCGTACCTCTATCTGATAAGATGGATAGTGGGACCCCATGCAATCGAACGATTTATGAGATATAGATCTTGGCTAACTTCTCGGCATTGTAAGTCACCTTAACCAAAATAAAATGAGCAGATTTAGTTAACCTATCAACAATCACCCAAATAGAGTCAAACTTACCCATTATCCTTGGAAGACCAACCACAAAATCCATTGCAATTCTTTCCCACTTCCATTCCAGAATGGGCATTCTCTGAAGTGTTCCTCCGGGCCTTTGGTGTTCATACTTTATTTGTTGACAGTTTGGACATTTGGCAATAAAATCCACAATGTCACGCTTCATTCTACTCCACCAAAAGTGTTGTTTTAGGTCACGATACATCTTGGTTGCACCCGGATGTATAGAATACCTTGAACTATGAGCCTCTGTAAGAATAGTGTTGATCAAATCATCAACGCAGGGTACACATACCCTTCCCTTTATTCTCAAAACACCTTCCTCGTCGATTTGTGCTTCCTTAGCCTCTCCTCGCAATACCATATCTTGGATTCTGCGCAGTTTCTCATCATCGAACTGTCTTCCCTTAATCTTGTCAAGAAATGAAGATCTTGCCTCCACAGAAGCCAACAATCCTCCCTTCTCATTTACTTCTAATCTCATCAAGTCATTAGCTAGAGTCTGAACCTCTCTAGCCAATGGGCGTCTAGAAGCTTGCAAGTGAGCTAGACTTCCCATGCTTCCCGCCTTCCTACTTAAAGCATCCGCTACAACATTCGCCTTCCCCGGATGATACAAGATAGTGATATCGTAGTCCTTCAGTAACTCCATCCATCTCCTCTGTCTTAAGTTCAAATCTTTCTGAGTGAAGACATATTGTAGGCTACTATGATCCGTATAGATCTCACACTTAATCCCATATAAATAGTGTCTCCATTGCTTTAATGCAAACACTACCGCAGCCAATTCCAAATCATGAGTTGGATAGTTACGTTCATGCACTTTTAATTGTCTTGAAGCATAAGCAATCACATTCTT